TGGATCTAATGTGAGCTGGAAATGCTACCCCAGGGACCACACGCAGACGGCAGCAACGAAGTTTCGAAGCAAAGAAAACTGGGTCGTCTTTCAGTTAAAATCATAGTGCTTTTGCTATGACTATATTTTCAGTGGCTTTCATTTAGACGTTGTTCTTAATTGCACTTTATTGCACTGCATATCCCGATGTTGCCCTTTTTAGGCTTGCTGAAACATTACGTGAATGCCTTCAAAGTTTTCACAGCTTTTCACAGTGTAAAACCTTATGATTTTCAAAGAAAACCCCACTGCCCAAGAAGATTAAAGCTAAACATTTCGGAAATAAGCCTGCTTTCAGCCGTGCTAAGATAGTCTAGTCTGGCAGCATCGGTTCTCCTATTCCAAAGGCAGCGTTGTTTTGGTCCTTCATATACAGGGTGATTCATAGCCGTGTGACCGAAAATAAATGAAAACTACAGGAAATGCATTCGTGTTACATGCCATTGCCAAGTACCATATTAAACAGCCAAATCTGAAGTTTTGATCCATGTATAGCATCAGTCACAAATACTTTTCCTTCGACTCTCACACTTCTTTTAGACAAGATGATCAAAATGGCCACCTCGGTGACGGATGCACTCCAGCGCCAGAGCCTACAGTTGGCGCTGGCGCGGACGCACAACATTTCTAAGGAAATAGAACCAAAGCAGCTTCCAATGGCATCCTTCAGCCCCAGAATATCCTGGGGACTCTCATCATAGACCTCGGACTTTGCACAGCCCCAGAGGAAGAATTCCACGACGTTGAGCTCCGGCGAGTGTGGCGCCCACCTGACCTCAGCGCTCTTTGAAATCAACTTTCCGGGGTTCGCTTACCATTTTTTTTTGTGCCGTGTTTATCACTGAACCGTGCCCTCTGCTTTGAATTGATTAACGATTCTACGAATTGTTATCTTCTTTGGAGTTTCCCTTGGGTGAAAGCCTTCAGACGTGCAGAAACATCTTTGTGTTTGCTTGACGGACTGCGTTAACCTATACAAATTACACATTTTTACTTTTTGCTGTGTTGTGTACATCTTGAGCGATACACACAAACCAGACCAAGATAGAACAAAACTTCATAAAATTTTCTACTAGCACGTGAAATTTCACGCGGAAATATGCAATCCTCTTCTCAAGAGAGATCAACTAAATAGGTCACATGGCTATGAATCACCCTGTATGTATTCGGATGAGCCAAGTTTCAAAGCCGTAATAATGCAAGCAGAGATCATCACGTCTGTTACTTTTTTGTCTTACTTGTTTGGTAGACATTTTTCTCGTTAACAAATTATTTCTGTTCTGTGAACTCTTCATTTTCCCAAAATGTTACGCATAATGGGAAAGCAATGGTAGGTAATGACAGTTTGAAGACGCTAACTGGAGGTAATCTCGGAAAACGAAAAAAAAAAACAATTTGCATAAATTGGCATTTCCGATTTCTTGGCAAGGTGGCACGACGGACGTTGTGGCCGCATACCCAGGATATTTTAAATTTCCACTTTTTCTTCGAAAATTGCTGCCTTGCGCGTTGCTTTAGCCAATCGGCTTTTACAGCAAAGGTTAATTATTATACGAATTACGAATTAAAGGTCTTTTCGTGTCGTACTGTCGTTAGTGGCAACCGGAACCGGGCCATGAAAGCTGTTCACGTCACGGTGCACATTCAGTCACTGTCGCAGTGCATACTGCACAGTTTAAGTCTTACGGAAGAGTATCTTACTTTCAATCTACAGGCCACGACTGGATGGTTATTGATAGGGGCAATGTGGTTTATTCGCCAGTCATCATATCCAATATACAAATATTCGGGTTTGAAAAGGAACAAGTGGTCTGATCTCAAACAGCCATTTTCTCCCTGCTATTGCATTCATTGACTTTTTATTCACTCTGGTAAAAATGGTTTCGTATGAAAGCAATTTAACACACAAGCGGCTGGATTTTCAGCATCCTAAATCGCTTGGCAAATAGTCAATCCACAGAAAACGCTCATAAGTAGCGATTTTGTCATACAATATTCCCGCGGCTGGCCGGCGATACTGCGCAGCTACCGCGACTTCTCCCTGACCTCCGCTCGTGCGGAGCTGTCCCGTGCTTCAGGCGTAATTTGTCCCAAGGCGCCGTCTGCGGCCAGCCATGCTGAGCTAATGTGCCGTGCAGGGGTCTGGCGTCCCCCCTCCCCCTCACTCAGCCAGCCCCGGCCCCGCTACCACAAACACCTCACTTCCCTCGACCTCCGACGAGAAGAGGGAAGGAATTTAGGGGGGACGTTTGGAGTGTGGTGAAGGCGTGGGAATGCGGAGGAATCTTTCCAATTCAGTTTCAGATCCCGTGCATGTGTGAACCGACCAGCACAAATGCAACGGTAGACCTTCCGCATGGCATCCAAGCGTTGCGGAGCTCAACTACGAGTGATGTAGGCAAAATCACCCAATTTTTTATATAGGTAGTCGAACTAATGTTCACCTCGTTTAAAGTCATTCAACATGGTATCTTTTTCTTCCGGCCATTTCCGGCATTTCAAAAAATTTGCGTCATGTTTGAGTTGGTATGGTAACTTAATTAAGCATTGGCGAACCATGCTAAAAGAGCTAAATGCATGGTGCTTCCTAAGCTGGCATAGCACCGAACTGAGATTTGTCTTTGCCAATTTAACCCTACTCCTCAGTTGCGAGCATTTCAAAGCGCTGCTGGTGGTGAGTTTTTAAACTTTTTTGCGAGAAGTTACGTAACACCGGCATCTTATGTTCCGAATTCCGATTATCTTCACCGATGTTACCATGCCGAATTCTGACAATTCATTCGAATACAGCTTATAGGCCAACTCAGAAACAAAGAGCAACAGAAGTCTCGAGAAGTTTCCAAAAGTTTTTAAGATTTTATGTGACTGCAAATATCTCTAACTTGTCTGTGCCGGGCCCACTAAATATGTAAAACATTTAAAACTGGCACGCGGTGTATGTACGACAGTTAGGATTCAGGGATAATGTATCACAAATCAGGAGCCGGGACACGAACTCGTATCCCGAACTCGCATCTAAGTATCTATTCCTGTACCCCTTCCCGCCGATGGCACTGCGTCCGCTCACGGTGGCCCATTCCCGGCCCATCAGTGGGTAATTGTCCGTTTGTTTACGACCGGCCTCGTTACCGGTTCCAACTCCCCCCCCCCTTCCCGCCCCCACTGTGGTCTCTCTGGACTGGACCAAGGGGGTGGCTCCCCCTCCCCCGGACCCCTGTCGACGTCCATAGTCGCCCGATGGCCGGAGGGCCAGGCCTAATGACAGTCGGATGGGGCCGCGGCAGCCGATAACGTATCGGGATGCCAATAGAACGGCCGCCGTCCCACCTCTCTGTTTGGCGAAATGTGCTGCATTCAGCGCGTGGGCGCAGGTACTTACCGGTATCTGCGTGGGCGTCATTGCGCGCATGGTGTATCCAATCTAAGGAGGTATACTGATGCATACACGAGGCCGAGCATCAAAGAGAATGCCTCAGAATGGCTAAATAGGCCCAAATGGGCGGGTCATCAGTGCGTGTTTGCCTATGTACACCAATAGATTGATCGCATAGACGAAGTAAGCATTCAGTTCTACCTTGAGTGCCTACCCCACTACTGGATTACTTTTAACCATAAGTGCCATATTTAAAGCGATCGACCGTCATCTCTTATGCTAGACGTGTGCTGAATCGAAGATTTAGCTTAGCTCTGGACTGGTGCTACATTTAAATTATTACATTAACGACGGCTAAATTCCAGAGGTTTCTCTAGCCAGCTTAGTGAAAGTTTGTTATCACTAAGCTGAAAAAAAAGAGAAAAAGCACTCCCATGCACTCATTGTAACCAAACTTCTCCCGCTGCAAGAACAGCTGACCGCGACGCATCCTGTCTCCATTCGCGCCCGTCGCCGTCTCCGGACATTGCCCTCGTTGCCAGGTCCCGGGGGCGCTCGTTTCGCCGCCGAATCGCCGGAGGCAGCTCCGTTCCCGTCACCCGGAGACCGTCCCACCAATATGGTCCGTTCCCGGGACGACCGCAAACAAACTCTGTTTGCTCGGAGCCGCCGCCGGCCGGCTCGCCCGATCGAGCGTCGCTCATTTTCAGATTGGGTCGAGATGATAGACGCGGGGTCAAGGACGCTCGCCAGGACACTGCGAATGCAGATGAGACGTGTGTGTGTATGGGGTCACTGGGGACGAGTGCAGATGAAATATCTGAGCACGAGGGCAGTGTGTTATGAATTGCGAAACGCGTCAGCTGGACGTCCTGCCTGTCTGGGTCAATCTCCTCTCTCGAGGTGTTACACAAAATGAGCCGAGACTTCGTGGCGAAATGGCACCAATGAGTGCAACTAGAGTAGGGATGCTTGTACAAAATGCTCCACTGGGACTGGCAAAACGTGGGTTATGCATTCTCTTAGCTAGGAGAGTAATGCGGCCGGCTCAATCTAGGCCTGACGATGGCACATCAGCTGGTGTCAGTGATGAAACATCGTGTCCGACGGGAGCCAATTTAGACGGCGACGTCTGTCGACAAATGAGAGCGTGTTGTCTGCCGTCTGAGGGCGACGCCCTCAGGAGAGGCCCATGCAGGACCTCTGGCCAGGAAAGCTAGGAGTAGGAGCTCACCAACCCGGATACTGAACGGCGTGTCTTTAAAGGCATGCAAGAGATTCTAGAGTCACGCTACCTGCCTATTCCATTACCATTTCGATAAACCGCAGCACCGCTACTCAGAGACAAGCCAAAGTAGAACTGAGGTCTACCTTATAGAAAATAACAAAACTTTAATAACGGAGTGATAGCACAAAACATCGTTAATAATAGAAGCCACGCTCGTAAATTGAAACTGACCCGACAATGACTAATGACCGTTGGCAATGACCATCAGACTTCGGTCGGTCCTGCCGGCTACCACACGGCTAGCCCACTCAATCATCCATCACCCAGCACCTCTGACGGTCACCCATTCTCTGCCGGCAGTCTGAGCAGCATGAGCGGTCTCCTGAGCTCCTCGGTGCCGCCACCGCCGAATGTCACGCTCAATGCCTCGGCCGCCAAGACGGCCTACCTACTGGCCGTTCACGAGGAGTCTCGCGTCTACGCCGTCATCTACGTGTCCATCGTGCTCGTCTGCTACACGGTCGGCATGTCCGTGCTGCTGACACGCCACTTCCGGCGGGCCGAGAACCAGCCGCGGCTGGCCGTGCTCTACCAGGCCATCATCAACCGGACGGCCTCGCTGCGGAGGCGGCGGACTGACGAGGCGCCGCGCGCAGCGCCCCAGGTGGTGGTGCACGAACCTGAAGTGTCGCCGGCGCCGCTGCGTGGCGCTAGTGAGCGGCCGTCGGCGGGTGGTGCGAGGCAGAACGGCCGCCAGGTGTCATCACTGGACGAGATCACGACAGACGTGGATGTCGAGGCCTGTGATGGCAGTGTGGTGGAAAGGACGACTGGGAGGGTGTACCGAGAGACGGACTTTTAGCTCGTGAGGCGAAACGCGCGGGAAGTGCGCTGGTGCCAACGTGATGCGCTCAAGGACGCCTTTGAATCGTTCGTGGGCGTCGGCCCGATATAGGTAATCATTCGAAGTGGTTATTTGCTGTTGCTGTGTGCAGTGCGGTGTCTACAAGCAACGTAGCGCATGCCTGGCGAAACAGGGTCAATGCTATTACCGATCTCATCATGGACATTGATTGCATCACGAACATTGTTTGTGCGACTTGCGAATGTCGGCCAGGAGGCATCGAGGCACGGACATTGTCGCGTGAAAGAAAACAGGCGTGTACACCAAATGTTGTCGAGAGTTGCTGATTCTTCAAGCGATGTTCATATTGTGGTCCGTTTTGGATCATCGTATCACCCATATGTGAGCTGTTTGGTGCAGAAATACAGATATGTTATTGATTGTCTAAACTGAGACCCGGGTGACTCCCAGGTACCTAACACAGGTGGAGTACACGAACGCATATAACAGTAAAGCTGAAAGACCAAAGACGCCTACGTTTGTCGTACTGATTCTGGACCCTGCTGGACATATTATACCAGGGTCCAGGATAGTGCTGCTGCTGAATGTAATTAATCGATAATCATCACCAAAATCAGGAACACGACAAAACACAATTTTCCACATCCAGATTACCTACAGACGAGGTAAACAAGTGCACAAACGAATGCCAAAAGTCCGCGAAGTATCTTCTACCTAACACATGCAGTTATAGTCATAGTCAGGTCAGTGTCATATTCTGTACTGGTCGGACATCGGGCGAGCGATAGACGGTCAAACGGCCATCCGACGCCAGATAATACCTTATAGCCGTCCATCATCGGCTTTTTCTGACCTGACTATTCTTATCGATGAACATATCTTCTAAGGAGATATGCTTTATTTATTCTCTCTCAAGTCTCATATCATTAGATGACATCACGTAGCGCTTGCCAAACCATTACCAGCGGCTACTTGCAGTACTGTTCATAGATGGCGCTGGTGGTCGGCGCCTGAATACATACTGTACCGCAAGACACGCCTGAGATGGACAGACATGCTCGCGGCTCCCGCATGTCTGCGTTTACATTATACGAGATAGTTCGTCGTTTGTGACGATTGCGAGACATCACAAATTCATGCACAAATGTACACTAAGCAATTTCATAGTAAGAGGGCAGGGCCTGCCTACATACTTCGCTTCGCGTAGCCCCTCATTCAGAAGTTCGTGTTTTTTCCGTATTGTAACCGGGAATAACGGGACATGCCGAAGCTAAGGCGAGTGATGCTGGCCAAAATTGCGCACGCAATCGCCTGATATTCCACACTTACACACTTTGCACAACGTTGAATCCAGCAGTGACGAATGGTGTGCTGAATAAGACGAATGATGGCCAATAACCCGAAGATAAGACCATTTTGAAAAAAAAAATATTGCCTGCGTTCGAAGTGCGGAGTGACTAAGACATCCTGTCCAAAATGTAAGAACCTCATTCAGGATACGAATGGAGCCAATTCAGTTCGATATGAACCGAATGAAAATTTCCGAACGTCAGACTAGAGATGAGGTATAGGATGACCAGTACTATATCTCAAAATTGACCCTCATAAATCTAGCACATTGTGCGAGAAGAGTATCTATGCAGAAGAGACGAGAGATAAGTCATCAATCCAGAACAGCTACAGCTGACCTTGGACGATGGAGATATGATAATCTAGCCATGATTTTATCCTTGAAAATATCGTGCTGCACGCCATTCGACATTCACGATACCAGAGCCCATTACGACGAATTTGCACCTAAACTACCTAAGCCACAGTTCTGAAAACATCAATAAAGTTCCGATATAGTGTTTTGCAATTTATGAGGCATCTTGTGCAAATAAAAAAATATTGTGCATTAAAGCGCCGTCAAATACTTAATTAACCCTCGCCCGTTGGGGAGGGGCCATTTTGGCCCCCCCTGTGGTTTTTCCTGAATAGCTAGAAAACGGCGGCGCGCAGCGCCGCCAAATTTTCAGTACCTTCCCGGGCATCAATTTGACACCTCCACACCGAATTTGAAGTCTTAGGTCACCTTAGGTCAGGAGTTATTGAGGTCAAACTGAGGTCATGTTCGAGCAAAAATGAGCAAAAAACATGCAATCTTGAAACGCTCACCAAATTTACAGTTACCAAGCAATTTCAAAGTTCTTTACATGGTCTAGTAGGCAAAAAGCGGCGCTACAAAACTGCTATCTCAGATTTTCAAAATTTTGGGCTTTTGACCCCAAAAATTAAAAAAAAAAATGATTTTTTTTTTCAGAAAAACTCAAAAAAAAATCCAAGAATTTTTCCGAAGTTCGAAACAAAAACGGAATATATATGATATTCCCTGTGCTCTTCTATATACATACCAAATTTCAGATCGATATCTGGTTTTTTGGCCAAGTTATAGCGAATAAACTGTTCAAAAATGATGACGTCAAATTTTTGAACTCAATTTTTAGCGATTCTAGATCACGTAGGGCAAAACAAAGACCACCATTGAACTCCCCGTGACAAGCTGCATCGAATCAATACCCATTTTATGCAAAAATATCAACATTGAAAGTTGATCTAATTTGACCTGACCTTGACCTGACCTTGACCAAAACGTGACCTAAGCTGGCCCAAAAGTCTGCCTGACCCACATAATCGCATTTGTCATGTAAAATGGACCATAAAACATGTATCACACGACACTTTCATATTGTGACCCCCAGTGACCTGACCTCTGTGACCTGACCTGGTATCAGTGACCTCAAATAGCAAAATATGTGTTTGAAGAACATTTCCCCATCGATGATTTTCAATGAAATGCATTTTACTCGATTTTACAACGCATTTCTTGAAATGCCTGTAAACGGTGAAAATTCGACCTTTGACCTGACCTGTGACGTCATCGGTTTGACCTAGGTCAATAAAATTGGGTCACAAGGTAGTTCCCTGATAGGGCTATCCAACACCGTTTGCCGCTTGTCGCTAGGTTGCGTGGTTCTCGAGATCTTAGGGGGGGGGGACAAATTGCCCCCCCCCCCCAACGGGGCGCGTTGCTCGGCAGAGCCCAACGGGGCGCGGGTTAATGAATAAGCTAACCGTAGCCATGAAGCTTGCAACCCTCGCCCGTAAACGGCGATCTGCCACCTTCGCCCATGCAGGGGGGGGGGGGGGGGGTTGGTGCGACCCCCCCTTGGCGTTTGAAAACGGAGCGTCGTAGAGCTTAGCGGAAAAGACCAACGGATTGCTCTCGCCGAGATCTCGCGATTGGTGGTATATTTTTTGGTCCTAGGTCAACATTTGACCTACTTTTGACCGGTCAAAGGTCAAATTTTTCGGAAAAATAGACTTTTTCAACTTTCCGCGGCGATTGCGGCAAAACGGTGGGAGATATCGACTTGAAACCTTCACTATCGTGTTCCTTGATCAATTCTCTATCGTTTGGTATGTATTTCGTTTCCCTAGCTCTAAAAATGGCGCGTTGGGAGCGCCGGAAGTCGGCAAGGTCACAGTAGGCGGCAGAAATTCGAAAAATCAAAATTTAAATTTTTGAAATCTGATTGTATTTTTGGATTTGGGAGGTCCATTTGCTCCCTTTAGAAGCTAATATTGCTGCATATTCCCATCGAGGTGACAAGAATTAGCAAAATAGTGGTTCGGGCGCTTTTCAAAAATAGTACCGGACGCTGTTCCTCTTGTGACGTCATAGCTCCGTGACCTGACCTGACCCGGTCAAGTTTCTTATACCATATGATAGCCAATACTTGCCCCAACATGCATGGGAAGTTTCATCACGATCCATCAACCGATGTCCGTACCACCGGCAGGAAACCTCGGGCGTTGGCACTCAGTTTGTGAAAATCCGGCCGGAGGCTGTTCCCTTTGTGACGTCATAACTCCGTGACCTGACATGACCCGGTCAAATTTTTTTATCAAAAGATGCGCAAGGTTTGCCCCATAAGGTACCGAAAATTTGGCGGCGCTGCGCGCCGCCGTTTTTGCACTATTTCCGAAAAACCTCAGGGGGGGGGGTTGCACCAACCCCCCCCCCCCCCTACATGGGCGAGGGTTAAAATGAAATGGTTCACTTTTAACATGGGTTTTTGAACTGGAATAACAGTTTCGCAGCTTGAGCTGAGGTAAGCACAAATCAGGAGCTTATACGGCCCAACGATCACCCTCGACGAAGATATTCCATTTCCCGTTCCGTAAAAAGTGCCTTGCAGAGGAATGCGCAAGGCAGCTTGCTGCTTGCAGCCAATGCTGCATGCGCAGGTAGGTTTGAACAGGGACTACGCAATATGATTGGTCAACGCGTACTAAAGTTCTGCGTCAAACATTATCTTATTTAGAATATTGTTCTTCTCACATTAAAATATAGAAAATAATCCTTTTAACCCGCGCCCGGCTGGGTGTCCTGGATTTCCACGCCCTGCTGGGGGGGGGGGGTGTTTGAACACCCCCCCTTGTAACTCGGCTCCTGGGCCACGTAGCGATACGCGGAAGGCGGCGTTCGAAAGAGCGTCAAAAATAAAGACGAAATCACTTCGGTCAATTTTTTGGTCAGGTCAAAGGTCAGGTCACCAGAGGTCATTGAAGGCAAAATTTCGCCGATTTCCAGGTCAAATGTCGAAAATTTCCAAGAAGCCAACGCATAACTCGGGAACCAATAGAGCTACAGCGCCGCGGAAAAGCGCATTCGATAGCCCTATTAACGCCCTTTCTGAGTAATTCTCTCAGATTTGACCTAACTTCAACGGTTTTGCCTGCAAGGGGCAAAAACTGCAAAAATAACCGATTTTTTCGGAAACAGTTTTTCTGCAATAACTTTTGACCCAAGCCCTGTACGAGCTTACTTTTACCGGCATCGTGTTCCTCTCGTCAAGACGCATCGAATGAACTATAACTTGACCTTGAAAGGTCAACTTGAAAATTTGACCTCAGGTCAAGGTCATGACCTGACCGGAAAGGGTCATGTTGCATATCAGTCGATCCGTATCGTCGAGCTGAACACATCTAAGGCGTTTTCATCGCTCTAGCATGCCTCTATCAAAAGTTATTTACGAAAAACTGTTAGATACCATTCGTGACCTAAGATGACCTCAGGGCATAAACAAGGGTCACGGACACCATTTTCATGTTCAGTGTGTCTAAGCCACTTGTAATTCGGTGTTTGGGAGTGTTTATAATGTCGTTCGTCCAAAAGAGGCGCATTTAAATTTTCTCCCATTGACTTATAATGGGGAGGTCGCAAAATTGACCTGACCTTAGGTCATCGATTTCAAAATTCTGAGATATACATTTTGTACATGCTATTGCTCTTAGCAATCGCTGAAAGTTTCAAAGCGATCGGTCACTCGGTGTAGCTATGACAGACATTGAAACTTTTTATGAGGTGAGGTCACTTCAAGTG